GCTTGCGTAATAAGCACCATTTACGTTTCAATTTATTAAGAATTGCGTGTGTGTACCAAAGTGGTCTTTTAATAGATAGATAATCAACAGATTTTTTAAGTGAAGAGGTAATGTTGGAAATAACTAGATCCAAGTACCGGCCATTGGTGTTAGATACATTTGTGAATTGATGGTAATCACAAAAATTTTAAAATAAAGAAGATAATTTTGTGTTACCTGGCTTAGAATCAACTGTTAGCATGGTATTTCTTGATATTCAAATCACCGATTATAATCACAGCTTGATTATAAATTTCAGTTAAATTACTTATCAAACTAAATAGTAACTCAAATTCGTCTATACCGGCCTGAGCTTGAACATACAGGAAGTTCTATTTTCTGCAATTTTTTCAAATTTTATGTTTCATTTGTTTTGGGATACCGGGCTATTTTTTTTTTTTTAAATAGCACTAGTAATCAAATGTTCCGTTTTTAAATAGTGCATATTTTCTGAATTCTGAAATATAACCCATGCGCTACTTATTTTTTCCCAACATGGTAAAATACATTGTCAAAATAAAAATATCTTATATTTTGCCTTTTTCTCTTAATTTACATAGCCATCTTTCATAACAAAAAACATAAAACATGGTTAAAATGGTTTTTGCAAGGAAATATGGATTTTGTAATTATGGGGCGGATACAAATTTTCCATTTTAAACTGTTTTAAGTTTCATGTTGTGAAAGGAAGTCTACACATATTAAAACAAAAACGCAAAGTGTAAACCCGTCCACCCGCCCTATCTCAATTGTGATGATTTCTTACTGCAAAACTTATTTCTTTACAAGAAATTAAAAACATGTTTTTGAGTATCGTGTTCTTCAAAGAATAGTATGTATATTACGAAAAAAAAACAGGCAAAATATAATAATAATAATAATAAATACAAACAACAATCGCATACCCTCCACCCCTCATTGGGAAACAAGGTTAAATTATAAAATTAATAACATTAGAAAACAACTGGGTCAAATAACACAGTACCTTAGAGGAGTTAAAACACCACACATCATGACATGTATGCATTCGATACTGACCAACAATAATTTTCATCAAACTGATTTCGATGAGTACAACACAACACTATCCGAAATTAAAGATACACTATTACAAAAGCTTTCCTTATAGGGTAAAGTCAGGAGAGTTGGACCAGTGGGAGAGACGGTCCATTAGCAATAACTCTGAACCTATTGGAACAATTTAAATTTCCCGCGAACTACAGTTGCATTTATCTGCATTCATGTCGGGACATGTGAAAGTACTTTTGTTTCAATTAAATGTTTTGCGTTATTCAACATTAAAATTTTCTTGCGGGCCTGAAATTTCAGCCGCTTACTTTGCGATAACGTTTGTTGGAAGTCTGGTAAGTTTGCATATAAAAGTTATAGACAGTACAATTAATGGAAGCTTTGTCTTTGATTTTAACCTCACTTTACGTGATTTTATCATCTAGTTGTGCCGCAATGTAGTGGTCCATCTGTCCTAACATAAAAGGATAGATGGTCCAACGGTGTGACAGAGAGATGGACTTATGTTCCATTTTTTAGAAAATGCCAAGTAATTACATACGAAAAACCAACGCAAGGTAGATTTGAATTCCATCTCTATGGCTATTAATTTTTAGGTCTAGCGGGCAAAATATGGTTGACTTCTTTTTTGGATTTAATATTGTGTACTATGCAAAAGATGGTTACACAAGAGATGTACGAGCTATGAGGCCCTTTGTCAAACCTATGGAAACACTATTAACAAAAGAAAAAGTAAAAATTTGGTGGTTTATCTATCTTACCTAAAATGGTCCGACTGTCCTACCCTTGACAGGATAGTTGGACCGTTGCAAGCGTTTACCATTTTTTTTTTTGATGGATTATCATATTGTGTTGGAACAAAAAAATTACTTGTACCTTAAAAAATAAATGTTCAGCTATGTTCTTGTAAATTTTATATTTTTTTAAGTTGTTCAATAAAGGAATTATATTGAGTTTTTTAAAAGGTGGTCCAACTCTCCCGACTTTACCCTATAGCAAAAGACTTAAAAGATACAAACAATCACATCTCAGAAGAATTCATAACACTAAATTTTTAAACAACGAAAAACTATTCTATCAACATTTAACTAATTCAAGCAAAACTCAATTATCCGGTGAAATACCAAGTTCGCAAGATGTAACAACATTTTGGTCAAAACTTTGGTCTCAAGAATTTGAATTTAACCAATCTGCCAAATGGATTCCTCATATATACCTATAATAAATTATCCACAGTTACACCAATGAATGATCATCAGATAACACTTGCCGAATTAATAAATACCATCAATAAGACACACAACTGGAAATCACCAGGACCAGACAAAATCCATAATTTTTGGATAAAAAAATTAAATTGTGTACATATTCATTTACTACATCACTTAAATCAGTTCCTTCTTGACCCATCCTCTTTTCCAACATTCTTATGTCATGGTGTAACATACTTAAAACCTAAAGATAACGACACAAAAAATCCATCAAAATACAGACCTATCACATGTTTACCGACAATATATAAAATATTAACCTCATGCATTACACAAAAAATATATCAACACTGTTTTAACTCTGACATCATTAATGAAGAACAGAAAGGATGTATTAAAGGATCCTTTGGCTGCAAAGAGCAATTAATCATAGATTCCATCATCTGTGAACAAGCTAGAAAAGAAAACCGAAACATATATACTGCTTTTATTGATTATAAGAAAGCTTACGATTCTGTCCCTCATTCCTGGCTATGCAAAATTCTGGAATTATACAAGATTGATACTAAAATCTGCACTTTTCTCAAATGTTCCATGGAATTTTGGAAGACCACCCTCCAAATAACCTTAAATGAACAAACAATTCAGTCAGACCCAATAATGATCCGAAGAGGAATTTTTCAAGGCGATTCTCTTAGCCCGTTATGGTTCTGCTTAGCAATAAATCCCCTCTCCGATATCCTGAACAGCTGCAATTATGGGTTCAATATAAGAATTAACAAACAAAGAGAAAACAGAATAAGTCACTTGCTGTATATGGATGACATAAAAACATATGCAAGTACACAAAATCAATTAACAAACCTATTAAATCTGACTGAACAATTTTCCGGTGATATTGGTATGTCCTTTGGTATTGAGAAATGTAAGACCCAAGCAATCAGAAAAGGCGTGTTTCACCAAGTACCACATATAACACAGAATAAGGAAATAATTGAAGCCCAAGAACGAAACGATACATACAAATATCTGGGTTTCTGTCAATCCTCCCATATCAATCATACCAAAACGAAAACACAGTTGAAAGATCAATACGTAGCGAGATTAAAATTAATATTGAAGACACAGTTAAATGGAAAAAATTTAATGAAAGCAGTAAATACATTCTGCGTTCCACTGCTAACATATTCTTTTGGAGTCATTAAATGGTCCAAAACTGATCTTGAAAATTTAAACATCGCAACAAGGAAAATCTTCACACAGTATAGAAGGCATCACCCAAAATCGTCGATTGAGAGATTCTCATTACCAAGACAGAATGGAGGAAGGGGTTTCCAGAACTTAGAAAACTTATATCAGAGACAAATCTCAGATTTGAAGAAGTATTTCTTGAAACGAGCGGAAAGAAATGAAATGTTTCGCACCATCACAAGAGCAGATTTGAACCACACACCCTTAAATCTGTCGAACACCGAAGAAATCCACACCCCCCACACAATAGATAAAATAATAAGTGGGCTAAAACAAAAACAACTACATGGAAAATTCTACAAAGACTTAGAAGAAAATCATGTCAATAAGAAGATGTCATTGATTTGGTTAAAAAAATCAAGTTTGTATGCCGAAACAGAAGGATTTGTGTTTGCTATTCAAGACCAAGTAATCAATACCAAGAATTATAGAAAATACATCATCAAAGATCCGAACATAAAAAACGACTGCTGTCGCCTATGCAAAGCAAAACCTGAAACGATCCAGCACATAATCTCTTCTTGCAGCATCCTAGCACAAACTGATTACAAAGCTAGACACGACAACACAGCCAAAATCATTCACAAAGAATTAGCAACACTTATGAACTTAATCGAAGATACGACACCCTATTACACTTACATTCCGTCTCCAGTCCTTGAAAATAACAAATACAAATTATACTGGGATCGCACAATACTTACAGACTTAAACATTACAGCTAACAGACCAGACATCATACTTATCAAAAAACACACGAACGAAGCCATTCTCATTGACATTGCTATTCCTAACACAAACAACATTATTCAAACATACAACACCAAGATTTCAAAATATCTACAATTATCGATAGAAATGAAATCCATGTTGAATCTTAAAAAAATTTCAATTCTACCCCTAGTTATCTCTAATGTAGGTGTAGTTCCAAATAGCTTAGTTGAGAATTTAAAGTCTTTGCATTTGAATGATTCAATAATTGTGAAAATACAAAAAGCTGTTTTGTTAGGAACATGTCATATTGTTCGTAAGTTTCTTGAACAGTCTGATCATGTCAGTCAGATTAGATTAGCACCAGTAGGTCAGAGTAGTGTAGGTCACTTTTCATGTGATGCGCGGATAAATGGTCGGTAGTTACGCTGGACTTTTGGGGATGGGGTGAGATTAGAGAATAATAGCAGACTAATTTGTATGCTGTAATTCTAGAATCTCGAAAGTTGTTCTGTTAATCTAATCAATGCATATCATTACTTGGTCTTAGTACCCGTAATGATAGAAGTCTTGCCTGAATGCCGGTCATTTCCGGGTCAGTGGTGGGTCTTAATAATAATAATAATACTTCTTTATTCCCAACAGGCAAAGCCCAAATACAGGAAATATAAAATTAATGTATTGCTTATAAGTAATATAACAAAAAATGAGAATGAAAACAGAAAAAAAAAAATTGAATTAAAATTAAAATAAATTTCTTTAAGTTACAATGTAACTTGCTGCAGCAGTACGGATCAACTTCTTAATGTTGTCTTCCAAGATATCACAAGTTGAGCATAATTTATTAAAGTTGTTACACATCAGATGTACTGGAGATCGAACTAAAACATTCGTGCGTGGAGTGATTACATAAAAAAATAGAACTTCTTGTACCTAATCTTGGAACGTGAAAGTTATTTTGAGACAATAGGTTTATACAATAATTTTATTATTCAGTAAATTATGTAAGAATTTAATAGAAATGTTGTTACGTCTATGTTCGAGAAAAGTAACATGAAATCTGTCTACGAGAATATTTTGACTAAATCCTCTGTGAGGATAGAATCCATCTTCTTTGAACGCTAGATATTTTAAAAATTTTCGCTGAATGTTTTCAATCTGCTGTATTATAGGTGATTTATACTTTATGGATAGGTGACCAAACTAAACAACCATAGTCCAATTTGGATCTGATTAAACCATTATAAAGTGCAATTAAACACTAAATATTTGTGAAATCTTTGCAGTTACGAAACAGGAAACCTAGGATTTTGAAAGCAGTGGCCACTATTGATGTTATGTGTCCGGAGAAACTTAACTCTGAATCAAACAGTACTCCCAAATCTTTAATTGATGTTTTACGAATTAGAATGTTATTATTTATAGTATAGAAAAACATAATCGGACTTTTTGACTTGGTAAACGTAATAATGAAGCATTTATCAAAATTTAATTCTAATCGATTGTGCTTACACCAATCGACCAGAGTGTAAATGTCGTTTTGCAATAAATGACAATCAGAAATAGTAGTGATTTTATAATATAGCTTAAGGTCATCAGCAAATAGTAGTTTTCTGCAGTTAAGAAACCCAGGTAAATCATCAATAAATATGAGAAATAATAACGGACCGAAATTTGAGCCTTGTGGCACGCCAGAAGTTGGAATAGCATATTTGGAACGTACACCCTGAAATTCAACAAACTGATAGCGATTTCATAAATATGATTTGAATAACTCTAATAACGAAGTACTGATTCCAAATTTTTCCAGCTATTGTAATAAAATGTAAGGATCAATGGAGTCAAATGCCTTACTGAAATCTGTAAAAATTGCATCAGTTTGTATTTGTGTATCCATATTTTCAGAAAGGTATTGACAAAAAGTACTCGTAACAAGATTGGTGATCGTTGATCGTCTTTCCATAAACCCATACTGTGAAATAGAGATATTCAGTTTAATAGCATTATAGATGTACTTATGTAATATAGATTCGAAGACTTTTGATAAATTCGATAAGATGGAAATCGGTCTATAGTTAACAACCATGGTCGGATCACCTTTTTTAAAAACTGGACATATACGAGCCTGCTTCCAAATGTTGGGAAAGGTACTTGTTTTTAAAGAAAGGTTGAATAACATATGAAGTGGTCTAACAAACACTGAAGGACAGTCTTTGACTATAAAACTTGGAATTTGGTCTACACCGGATGTTAATTTATTATTTAGCTTTACGATTGCCTCTATTATGTCTTCTTCAGAGATAGATTTTATATTTACGTATTCCAAGGAATTAGAAGTAATTAGAACCATTATTAAAGTTTCCATTGTCCTCTGGGGTGTCGAATTTATATATACACTACCAAAGTACGTTGAGAAAGCATTAACAACTGAATCAGATCCTTCTTGTTGTAAATTTTGTTGATCTGTTATAATATTAGGTATTCTTGACCGATTTTTACGAGAGTTAATGTATGTCCAAATTAATTTAGGGCCATTAGTAACTTTTTCTTCAGTTGAACGAATAAAATTTTTATAAAGAAGTTTAGACTGATACTTGATACTAGCTCTTAAGGCGCTAAAATTGATATAGTCAGTATGATCACCGGTTTTCTTAAACCTTTTATGTAGCCTGTCTTTTTTACGTATATTTTTAATCAAGTCAACGCTAAACCAAGGAGGATATTTGAATGAAGATTTATTATATTTAACTACAGGAACAGTTTGATCTAATATTTTATATAAGGCATCATAGAAGCGCTTGACATGCTGCGTTTATCTCAGAGAATTTGTTTAAAAAGGTCCAATCAGTTTGTATCAAAAGCTCGTATAATCGAGGAAAGTTGGCTGTTTTGAAGTTGTAGTTTTTATGAATTGCATTACTTTGGAAGTTGTTATATTTATCTGCTTGAATAGTTAATTGTACAGACAATGATGGATGATAATTGTCTTCTTTTTTTTGTAAGCGGAAATTCCTTAGTGACTGAGCAGTTATCAATATTAGATAAGACAAGATCTAGAACCCGACCGATAGAATTAGTTACATAATTATATTGTGTGAAATGTTTTTGTCATTTTGATGGTCAGTATTATATTCAGGAACATTGAAATCTCCTAACAGTATAACATGATTATCATATATAAATGGAAGATGTGACAGTAATTCAAAAAAGAGTTCATATGAAGCAAATTCAGTGGCTGGAGGTACGTAAGCAACAAGTATTTTTAATTTAATATTAGACAAATATGAGATTTTGGCCCCAACAATATCAATTGTTGGAACACACTCAGTGATACAATGTAGATCTAACTTTTCACAGGATAACGCATTACTGAATGCTAATAGTGCACCACCACCTCTAGTACCACCGATAATTGATAAATTACGATCACATCTCAACACATGGAAAGAAGTAGGAAAAAGTTCCGAATTAGCAAAATCCTCAGTCATCCAGGTTTCGGTCAATCCAATTATGTCATAATTGTCAGCAGAAATAGAAAGATTGTTAAAGGAATTAAGTGTTTTTGTTCGAAGTCCCCTAACGTTTAGATAATAAATATTTAAATTACGTTTATGGCATTTGGGCGAGGTTAGTTTAAAGATTTTTGAATGGTAGGTATACCACGAACATATTTTATAAACAGATTTTCTTCTCCGTTCTCCAGTCTTTGTTTAATTTGGTCCTTTAATTCATTGTAATAGTGACGTTGTCGACTTGTGCGATCCAATGAAACTCGAATAGATTTAAAGCGAGGGTTACCTTCAATATTTGCACGATTTTTTTTTTATCAGTCTCAGTAGGTTACGTACTTGTTGGTTGTCATTGAGTGTTATTTTAATATGACGCGACTTATTAGGATTTGCTTCAAATTTGCCAAGACGAGATGGAAGAAGAATCTGTGATTCTGAAGTCATATAGTCGTTTGGATTGGCGTTAACAAATTGTAGAAAATCAGATAGAAATTCGGAGTCCTTTTCTCTACGATTTTTACTATCTAGGGAGGAATCTTGTTCGGAAATACCATAAAATATAATCTTATTTTTCCGCTTTTCTCGTTCAGATACTTCTTGGACTACAGCTTCAAATTCATAAGAGTTATCCGGAGTTTTTGAATTATTAGAACTCAATAATGTAATTTGCTGTTTTAACGTCTCAACTGTTTCAGTAAGTTTTTTTAGACTGTCTAATAACCCAGGGAGTAGAATGCAAAAATTGCACGACTCTCCCTCAGAGATTACATTTTTCACATTTCCATGTAAAGCCCGTCATAGTCTTACATACATCAAATTGATTTTTAGTAATACCCACACATTTAATATGATAATACAAAGTGCATATATTACATTTTTTTCTGTTTTTTTTTTAATCTCACCCACCCACCCCATCTCAATTGCGAAATTTTTTTTAATTCTTATAAACTTAAAACACGTTTAAAATGGTAAATTTTTGTGAGGAAATATGGATTTTGCAATTAGGCTCCGCCCCTAGGTCTACCAACGAATGAAAACTTCATTACGATGTATTTAGATCAGGGCAGGTATGGGTGGGACTTAATCTTTGGCTTTAATTTTTTCTTAACATACATAATATATAGTTTGAATAACACGATACTCAAAAACATGTCTTATATGGTAATTTCTTATAGAGAAACAACAAGGATTTTGCAATTAAATTCCGCTCCTTTGGCTCTCGACGATTAAAAAAAATCATCACAATTGAGACAGGGCGGGAGGGCGGGGCTTATATTTTGTATTTTTTATCAAAATACGTAGTCGTATTTTCAGAACAAGAAACTTAAACGTGTTTAAAATGGTAAATTCTTGTAGACAAATATGGATCATGCAATTAAGCCCCACCCCTCGATCTAACAACGAATGAAAAATTCATCACAATTGAGAATTGAGTTCGGGGCGGGTATGGGTGCGGCCTAATCTTTGGCTTAATTTTTTTCTTAGTATTCTTTGAATAACGCGATACTCAAAAACATGACATTTTGCCTTTTAGTATGTGTAGACTTATTTCGACAACAAAAAACTTAAAGCATGTCTAAAATGGTAAATTTTTGTAATAATCAACTTAAATCCTCCACTTTTTTTCTACAACCCCTTTAAATACGGCAAAAGTTGAACATCAAAGTTACTATCAACGGCAACTTGACAACGGAGTTTGTAAATGACAATTTTCAGCTCTAAAAGCAACGTCAGCGGTAACCGAACTGCGTCAACAGTAATTTTATAAATCCCAGTGCTAATGTCATCAAAAAAAGATGTTCATGGAATAGTTCCAAATCTGATTTCTGATAAGTCAAAGTCACAACATGTAAGAACACCTCAAAGATCCGTAGTTTGGTGTCTAAACCACGGACATTTTAATAATAAAGAGAATATCGACAATTTGGGAAAGAATTAGAAGAAGATGTTACTTATTATATTATATAATCAGAGTAATTGAACTGAAATTCTCGATACTAGATTTCTAATCACAAGCTATTTGCTTCTCTTCTCCGTAGCTAGAAGTTTGTTGATCTATTGCGGTGTGTTACTTGTCTATTAAATTTCTACAGAACATGTTTTTTTATTGTTATTACTAGCGGTGCAAGTAGTACCTACTCCTAACAAGTTGAACCCATCGGCTTAATACCAAATAAAATACAACAAAATAAAACATTCCTGAGAGTGCAGGTTACAGAATTGTAGAAAGTTCATTCTAATATAAATGTTTTGCATATCGTGAACTATGAAGCAAAAGATATCTGTCGTTACTTCCTCAGTGGCATAATTTTGTAATCGCTAATACAAGAGTGACGACTTCACAATGTTCATCCTCTATACCTTCACTGCAATGGAAACAATATGTCAATTGGATTGTAAATTTTACAAATTAAAACCTCTAAAAACACATTAATAACGAATGCTTCTAGCAAAAATAAGATGCCATTTTTTATACAACAATATAAATTTCCAACCTTCAACACGTTTATTAAATTTTAACGTTCTGTCTCTAAGATCATAGACACCATCAGTAGTTAGAACACGGAACCATCAGTTCTATAAATTATTACCAAATGTGACAAGAGGCGGTTCATCAAGTCATTTGAGCAACCAAAACACGGTAATTTATGCAACAATAAAATCTTCCACTTCATGCCATTAAACACCCAACAAAAGAACTGCCAATAAAATTTTAAAAAGATATGAACATGTCATCACTAATAGGATGCGATAAGAGGGGAAACATCCAAGTGAGAGTTGAATAAACAATAAAGAAGCAAATGCAAATTCTACCACATCACTCCTATTCTCGAACCTCTTCTAGTCTTCGCCCAACCTGACCTCATTGTCACCCGACCACCTCACCCTCCCCGCTCGCCCATAAGGTCATTATCAACCCAATAATAAAAATGGGCGCATCGCCGTCCATAAAACGATACAAATTACAGCGAGCCATCTCTCCGTCATGAATAACCCATGAGCCTCGTGGAATACTCCGTGCTCATCCTGAGCCTGCATACAAACGTCCACAGGAAAAGTACGTCATAACGTGACAAAACCGTAAACAACGGGCGAGGGTGGCTAATTTATGGCCATTGCTGCCATTGTTAACTATTCCTGCCAACTGCATACTGATACGACCTCACAGGAGCAGGAGGATCGACGCGCTAATGGACGGCCGGCGGCGCCTCAGCGCATCCGGGCCAAATTGACCCGCCACTTTTCCGACCACATTGCCCAAACCGGACCGTGAAATCGATTTATTAGCTCTACGCGCCGTGAAATACCGCGATTCGAGATTAGGCCGAAACGGAACGGTCGCACCTGATCCGACACGAACGACCACAATGGTGCATGGGAGCTGGATAAATATTTTTCTTTAATTTGGGAGGGTCGCAAGGAGCACATTAGGGACGATTCTATTGACGCGGGGTTATGAGGCGGCGGAGGCCAAAGGGGCGCACGGCGGTAACCAAGACGGATAATCGCACCTCCTGTGTAAATAAATACGGAAACTTTAAAAACGGGACGCCGACGACAGGAGAGGGCCGGTAGT